AGTCTTAGTTATAGGCCAACAAAAGAAGTCAGACTAGCCTTGGTCAGACATCTTCCCATGCAGTTATATGGAGTGAAGGAGTCTCCTGGCTCGCCTCTGTCCAATTTGTGATAGCAGGACTGGGCTCAGTTTGAAATTCTGGTAGTGGGCTGTGATGAGATGGGCAGCTCCAGGATGGGAACATATCCAGATGTTAAGTTCTCAGAACAGGAGAGACACGGACCTGTTGGAGTGCATCAAGAGAAGGGCCACCAAAATAATCCAAGGGATGAAACACCTCTCCTATGAGGACAGGCTGAGAGAGCTGAGGCTGTTCAGCCTGGAGAAGGCTCTGGGGAGACCTGAGAGCAGCTTTTCAGTATCTAAAGGAGGGCTGTAAGAAAGAAAGGGACAGACTTTTTAGCAGGGCTGTTGTAATAGGACAGGGCAAAATTGCTTCAGACTAAAAAAAGGGAGATTTAGACTGTGCATAAGGAAAAAGCTTTTTATGGAAAAGGTGATGAGGCACTGGCACATGTTGCCCAGGAAGGTGGTAGATGCCCTCACTATCTCTGGAAACACCAGGTCAGGCTGGATGGGGCTCTGAGAAACCTGATTTAGCTGTAGATGTCCCTGTTCATTGCAGGGGAGTTGGATTAGAGGACTTTTAAAAGTCTCTTCCAACTCAAAAGATTCTGTGGTACTAACAAAGCTAAAAGAAATTGGAGCCCTAGTGTTTGGCGTTGCCCTAAGTAAAAATTCAGCGTATAATGTCACTCTCAAAGTTCAAAAACATAAAGCTGGATATATTTGAGATATATTTATGCATGTAAAAATATTAAGATTGGTTGAGTAGTTTCACAGTGATGGACTAGCCTGTCTATTGGCTAAGGCCTTAGAAACCATAATCTCTGTAGTGAAAGCACATTATGGATGTGCTCAACATTGAGAGTCACAGCATTTCTGATTACTATGAACTGAGTTCTGCCCTTACACCAGGGAAACTCCATAAACTGAGAGTAACATCATTGTTTCCAATGCTTTTTTCCCAATTTGTTATTTGTTAGCAATTCATGTCATAGCTTTTTTCTATAAGGAATACGATGTCATTTGGGGTTGCTTTCAGGTGGTCAAATTGTGGGCAGAAAAATGCAAAACATTTGTCAATAAATTGTTCCTCTTTATATATAAATATCCCCTATGACAATTTCCCAGACAGCTCTAGGGATGCATTTTCTTTTCTTTATATTGCATTGCATCTAAGTTGTGAGCTAGGATTTAAGTGCCAAATATCTTCAGTTGACATAAGAGGAATTTGAAATATCTTATCTCTAGAGGCATGTGATTGAGTCTAGCAGCACCTGGAAGTCTCTAGTGACAGACACCCAGCCAGCCGTCCTCAGTAGATGGGTATATGAAAAGATACAGAATGCATCACAGCTTACAGTGTAACTCGAAAACCCAACACACGTACACAAATGCTGTGTAGGTGTTCTGCAGCTGCTGTGCTTGTATAATAGTTGGAATTCCTTGGACCAAATGTTGATGACTCTTGCAGAGATGGCTGTATTTGAGCAGGTCACCTCAGGCTCCTTTTGCAGCTGATTGAGGAAAGCATGGACTTTTGGGGCTCAGTTCACCTCACCTTCAAGTAGACAGCTGGAGGAGAACTGACGAAGCATGCCCAAGAAATGTCCATTTCTTTCCATTAACTGTGCAAGGAGCCTTGGGCTACAAACTCAGAGACTGACGTGAAGGAGATGGTTTCTACCTTACTTTCTTAAAGCATGCTCTAATTTGGAGGAGAAAAGATTTAAGTGCAAGAAATAATCCACTGTGTACTCATTTTTAAGGAACAATTACATATGAAAGCATGTCTTACATAAAGGAATTTGTTTTAAGAGTATGTTTTTAAACAGTGTATATTTATGTGCATCTTACCTCAAGGGAATAATTTTGAAAAGAATTAGGAGGTTTGTTTTATTTTTTTAATGAATGGCTGCAATCATGACAGTTCATGCTCTGCTTAAATTAGATTCCATTGCTGTATTTCTTCTGCTATTTATCTACTAAATAAAATATAAATGAACAATCTGGTATAAAAATCTGATTTTCCAAGTGAATCTCTGATTGCTCAGAAAGAATCACCGCATTCTGGATGAAGAAAATTAATTCACGGTGAGTTACCTTGTGCCAGCCACTGAGCATTTGGGTTTGGAATAGAAAAATACTTCAAACTTCTCTATTTCTAGAAGGTAAAATAAGGAAATTTTGAATCAGTAGAGAAAAGATTTTACTAACTAATGTGCTCCTGTTGTGAATATATTACCCTCTGGCATTTTTTAATGCATCTTCTAATTATGTAATCAATGAAGATTCTCATGTTTACCATTGCTAGTTTTTTATTCCTGATAGTACATAGCCATGAATTAACTGTAACAGGCCCACAGACCTCTGCAGCTCTCTGGCAGAATAGTAAGTTAAAACAGGCTTTCAGCATGTCCTTTTAAATGGGTTGAATCTATCTGACAGACGGATGGCATGTTTAAGAACATCTCTTGTACATACCAACTGTTCCCGATGAAAACAAAACAAAAGGAGTAGTGTTTTCATTTCATGCAGATTCTGAAGCAAAACAACATGAGGCCATGTACTGTGGAGAGATTAAAGTAAGGAAAAGGGAAAATGGCTCTGTGGATCTGATTTTCCTGATGCAGCTCCATGAAGCATTTTTGCCCAGTTGTGCACACTGTTTCATCACTGGTGTACTTCTTCAGAGGTAGTCCCAACTTTGTTGTTTGTGTTTTGACCTAGATAGGGCAGGATAATTTATTCATAATGGTACTTTGGTGTTGGGTGATAAATTACACAGAATGAAACAGATAATGATGTCTACAAGAGAAAAGAAGATTTGTGTCATTATTCTCTTCTCACGGCCAGCCACATCCTCAGTGTTAACATCCGCAGAATGACCTGACTCCACAGATTGTTAGAAATTGCATACTAGCCTTCCCCACAGCCCTTACAGGTTATTTTTATTGACTATTGTAATTACAATAAACATTATGTTCTAGGAATGAGTTCTTGGCTATACTGGATCTGTGACATCCAATTCCAATGCATTTCAGCAGGCTGAAGATTTTATCCAAGTTTAAAGATTTTTTGCTTGTTTGTGCAAAGAGGCTTTGCACAAGTTTCATTTATATCTTTTTTTTTCTTTTTCTTTTTTTTTTTTTTTTTTGAGGCCTGTATTCAGCTAATTCACTCATCAGGGACTATTAGTACATACCTGCCTTGTTTGCAGCCAGAAAAACTAGAAAGTGGAGACTAATGAAAGGGAACAATATGGAAAATAAAGATACCTGACTGTCTTTTCCTTCTCACAGACAATTATTTAATGAATGATGATGACGATTAATCACGTTAGCATAAAAAGACATCATTCAGAGATAGGATGTTATGATGCTCTTATTTTGCAGGGTTTTTTTTCAGGCATCTTGAGTGAACATGCCTATCCAGCTGTGGCAAGCAAATCCCATTGCTGTAGCTGAAAGCATGTTTTAGTTAATAAGATGCTAAAGATCAGACAATGTAAAATCTATTCTTTGCAGAGCTGTGGGCACAGAGCGTGTCACTTGTCCTCTCTGCACTTCAGGCTCCTTGCCTTTTAGGGCAGTGATTGCTGATTGAGAATAAAAGCCCAAATCATCACTTGAGTATTAGTATTTCATTATTCTTTGCACATAGAATGCAGAGTCCTACAATGTTCCACATTTCTGTATCCTCCAACACAGTCAGTCGGTTTTAATATCTTCCTATTTTCATTTTAGATGTCTTTTGGTAGGTTTTAATATTGTCCAATTTTCATTTTAAATGTCTTTTGGCTGGTCTTAATATCTTCTAGTTTTCATTTTAATTGCCTTTTGGTTATAATCACGCTACTTCTCTATACCATAACAGCATGCTTTTTCTTTCAGAAAAGTATACCTGCCATGTAAAATGCATGAAGAAATCTAAACAGAAAGGACCAGACGAGCTGTTTAAAATGATTTATTGGGAAATTGAAGTTTTATAGAATAAAAATCTATGGAAAAAGCAAGATCAAATTGCACAGAAATGCTTCCACAGGAAGACACTTTGTTGTAATAACATTTTCTTGCAGTTCAGCCTAAATTGAACTTAAAAAGAAATGTGTCTTCTTAACCCCAATGAAGCCGGACGTGTAATGGATGCCACGTTAAGAGTCTTCTGACAAAGCTGAGAGCACTGTCAGAGGAAATAAGATTACTTGGGGAGAGAGTGCATGAAATCTAACCACTAGGTTTTCTTGATCTTCTTGCAGAGACATATAACTTCATTTACCTGAATGGTAATCCAAAAGAAGTACTCCACGTATGTGTCTGGATTCATTTGGACTGCTTTAAGAAAAATATTTTAAATGAAACACAGACAAACACAAAATACAAAACAAATACAGACACATCATCTGTTCAGAGCAGTTCCTTGTAATTAATCAGTGCTTCAAGCAGGAATTGTTCAGATTAGTTATTGTTCATTAATTAAGAATGTGATGTTAGTGAAATCTGTTGACAAAAGTAGGGCTGAACACAAGCTCCCAGACTGAGCGTTCGACCACGCTGATTAATGAGGACAAATTTCATTTCTTCAGTGGATCTGGTAACATAAATGTCTCACTCTACTCTAAGGTCATTTCAAATTGCTGAACAGCTTAAGAGAGCTGTTGCAAAAGAGAGGAGTCAAGCTGTGGAGGGTGGAGGCTGCTTTTTACTGTGAAAAGGCTATTAAAATGAGCAGAAAACAGGTCCTGATGGAAGATTTCTGGAGCTGCATAGGGTTGAGCTTGCTTCCTTCATCTGATAGAACAAGGGACCCAAAAGTTGCACCAAATGGTGTACCACGAGCATGATTTATATTGATTTTAATGCAACACAGTGCAGAAAGCATGTCCTTGGCAGGGTATTTATACTTGCAGTTTAAAACCTGTGCTTTGATTGTTCTAGATGACAGCAAGTTTTCAGAGGCCATCACAGTGCTGCTAACCTGGATTGAGCGAGGCGAGGTGAATCGTCGCTCTGCAAACCAGTTCTATTCAATGGTGCAGTCTGCAAACAGCCACGTTCGCCGTCTCATGAATGAAAAGGCCGCTCATGAGCAAGAGATGGAGCAAGCCAAGGAGAGTTTTAAAAATGCCTTAACAGGGATCCTGACTCAATGTAAGTAACTTCTTTTTGTCCAGTGGTGTTGTAGTGATGGTGGTGGTGGTGGTAGTGGTTTTTTTTTTGTTTGTTTGTTTGTTTGCTTGGGGGTAAGTAGTTGCAATGCAGTCATATTCTACTTCATATCCTATTTCATACTCTATGGCAATTTGGAGGAACAAGGACCATTCCTAAGAGCTTATTTCTCAAGGTGAGCAAAGTTTCAGTAGTTCTTTTATTAACAGACAAAAACATGCTCTATGCATAATGTCTACAGTTACGTAGACCTAACACTTCAGGAACAAACCAGACAGAAGCCTCACTGCTCTAAAAAAGACTGTGCCTTTGTGATTTGTAACCTGTGAGATGCAGCTAGTTAACTAGGCCAGTTACAGAATAGAGGACAATTAGGTTGTATTTTTAGCCTGGGTTTAGGGAAAAGGCAATAGGATTCAGCAACTTTTAGGAATATATTCACAGTGTACCAGGCCACTCCCACAGTAGAAGAATTTGCTGTGCTGCTTCTGGCATCAGGACTACTCAGCTGATACAGTGCCAGTATTAATTTGGCAGATAAACGGTCTTAAATATTTAGTGCTGGCAGCTATTTCCTTAGAACAGAAATATAATCAATGAAGTTGCCTTAATGGGATTCCTTCATAAAAAAGCAATCAGGATACTTGCCTAAAAGTGTTCTTCAAAGGGATAGAATAAAAAGAAGAGATAGAAGAAAGAGAAAAAAAGAAAAAAAAAAAAAACTTAAAAAAAAGGCAAGAAAAAGAAATTTAATTGTTGCTGTTTTTAACTTGTCTCTACAATATCTTTGGGTCCATCTCCTTCATCTAACTGCCACATTGTGAAATTACATGATGCTGCTCAAGCAAGAAGCTTAAAGATACTCAAGTGGAGACTGGAACTAGTATGGAAATTAAAAACAAAAACTGAGAGAATTTACCAGATGGAGAACAACACAGTTGAAGCATTGCAATTTCTGAATCTTTCTATAAATACATAAATCTCGTCTTTCTATAAATACAAAAACCCTAAAAGCTTTTCCGCACTATTTTTCTGGTCCCTTGGTTCCCCCAGAAGTTATGGCCAAGGGCAGAAGTTTAGATGGTCTTGCCCAAGATTCCTCGATTAGGAAAACCTTTTTTTGCCTAGATGACAGAGAGCGTTGTCTCCCAACCTAAAGAGTTTAGACTCCTGAACTTAGGGAGGAAGAATATGGGACAAAGGCACTTGATTTCTGCGGACATATGTTCAGTGAGTAAATTTTTAAAAACAGCTAATTTGCTCAGTAATTTGCTAGTCAATGTCCTCTATCTCAGCTACTGAAAGACAGTGTGAGGAGGTAAGATACAGGCACCATGCATGGCCATGCTGTTCAATTCACATCAGGGCCTCTGCATTTCTGTGTGCAACAGCCAGCCCTAGTATTCAGAAATACCTTCTTTAGCTTGCATTCAAAATAATCCCCCATTGTCAGCAGGCTGAACGTTAGTTAAATCTGTCTAAATTAGCTCGTTTGTCACCAACTGTTGTGGAACATCTGTCACTTGGAAATGGAGATCCCTGTAGTTTCAGGTGGGAACTCGCAGTTTGGCTATCTGGTTTGTTCCTGTAATGTGCTGAATGTTCAATGTACAGAAACAGAAATAGGTCTGGCTTCAAAACATGATTCTCAGAGTGACGCAGTCACAGCAATGGCCTGGAAGAAGAATTTCTGGCAAATCTGGCCTGTGAGGACAAGGTCAGCAAAAGCACAGGCTCAGAGAAAGGTGTTACATGCCATGGATTTTATAAGAACAAATTTTATGAGCTTTGCAGATGCTTCACATTGGTTATTTTATAAGCATCATAAACATTGGCCATTATTAGCATTAATGTCTTATCAAAATTCTCTGCAAAGTTGCTATGAACAGATGGATGATGTTTTGCTTTACCCATGTATATGCCTAAGATTGCTAAACATGGAGACTGTGAAATGAGCTTCCTTTTTTCAAGAATTTTCTTGTATTTGAATATCTGAGGAATGTTTTTATGCCTCTTTTTCTATTGTTTTCCCACAACCCTATATAATGAGCTACAATATATCACTTAATATGAATCTGAAAATAATGATTGTCCAAAATAGATGGCTGCTCTATTAAATTCTGCAGAGTGACTAAAATCAGCTCTGCTGTTCTGCAGTAGGATCTGAAAGTCTAACATAATGCTCCAGCTTTGTAGTCATTTGACACAGATATTACAGTACTTTTAAAATAGTGTGTCATGTTCTAAGTCAGATGTCCAACTCTGAACTGACCATTCTGGGCCTTTAGTGCATCCAGTAGAGAAAAATATGTATTTCAAGATGATGAGTCATCAGATCCAGCTGGTAGTACACTTCCAGTGAGATGAATCATCCCTTGGCAATGCCTTTTATTCTCTGCTCCCCATAGAGGACTCACAGGGAACCAGCACCAGATGTCCAACTTCTACATGCTTAGTTTGAAGTAGACAGTCTTAATACAGAAGGGTAGATCCTGGTGTTAGTTATAAATGTCATAACTGAAGCAATGTGTATTATGGGGAATGAAGAAGAAATAGTGGACTGGAAGTGCATTCACTTGGAACACATGCACTCTCTATATGTGTCTCAGTGTAAAACTGAGGATTTCTGTGACCAGAACATTTCAGTTTATTGGCCCAGACACTAATGAAGTACGGGTATTGAAATTCCTGCTACCATCTGCTTGCAGGTATTTAGAAGTTTACCTAAGCGAATTACCCCTAAAAATTTGGGTCAAATGTTCAGGACATGGATTAATTACCCAACCAAGATATTTTGTTCCAGGATAATCAGCAAAATAAAGTATTGCCTTTCTCATACCACCAACCTACAGCCTCTGATTTCAGTTCTACAGGGGGTTTTAGCCATCATGTAGTGCTTCTTCAGTTATTTAAAGGACCAAGACAGAAAAACGCCCATTACCTTCTTCTTTTTATTAAGTTACCTATTTTTTCTAGATTTGAATCTGTACTTGAAATGTGGATCGTTCTGTCTTCGTGGTTTCATTTCTAAATTCTTCCATTTTGCTTCCATAACACCACTGCATGTCACACTACTCTCAGACTTTCCATGTATCTCCTTTTCATTTCCTCCCAAACCACCTTTTTAGCCTAAGGCTTGTAGATGTTGATCTTCATGTTTAAGAGAAATGGAAGAAATGGAAGCCCTAGAGACATCTGCACTGGGTTGTTTTTCAGACTACACCAAAGCTGCAGTTTTTTTCCTCTGAGTTTCTCATCCCTTCATTGTAAATTTAATCTGTTTCTTACTGAGGTTTCAAACTACTTTGTGCAATGCGCCTAGACAATATTTTTAAAGTACCTCTTGGTGAATAAGAGCCAAAAACCCTCATTCAAATATAAATTTGGTATCCCAAGAATTAGACAAAGAGATGGGGGTGTCCCCAAATGCAGGTAGATAGACAAATGGTGTAATTAACTGAAATTCTCCATGGTTGAGTACTGAGCAGCTAATGACACCTTCCTACTTGGTAATTTTTGTCAGTCTATTGGATGAATCTTCCAGGTTCTTAGACACCAAGTCCCTTTCAGAGCCTATGAAACTGTCTTTTGTGTGCTGTGGAGTAAGAGTGGGAAGGTTTTCCCCAAGAGCTTCCTGTCCAGATTACATCTTTGTCCTATGGTAGATTTCAGTAGGCCTTCAGCAAATTTTGGTGCCTAATGGTCAGAACAATCTTTATTGTGTAATGTTTAAAAACCCTGAATGCTAGTGAAAGAACTGTACGTAAGCCTCCCTCCTTCCAAGACCACTTCAAGTGGTAAGGTGCCCTGAAAGGGATTGTTGACATCCCATAGGGCATGTGATAGACCTTCAGCTGCAGTATTTATTCTGCTGTAACTAATGACAGATATGTCCTTACCTCTTGATGGATGTGGGATCACTGGAAAGGGAAGCCACTTTCCAGAAACCTTGGGATCCCTCTGTGCATTAGTTGGCATCAAGGAGAAGAGATATGCTGCAGGTTCTCATCCTACCTTGGCAAGCATTAGTTGGTTCACTGACTCAATAAGCAGTTTTTGAAAACAGGATGTAGACTTCTAAATCTCTTAGACATGTCTAAAGGTCATCATCTTAACTTTTATTCACAATGGCTAAATAACAACCCTACTTTTGACATTAGGAAATCCAGTGGCAATTCAATGTAGCAATCTCTAGCACTCCAACTGGCCCAATATGCCCTAGTAGGCCATCCTAATATTTGCAGCAGACCTCATAGGCAAGCTACACAACACTTTTTTTTCCAGTTCAGCTACTAAATGCTATGTCATTATAATAACAAAAACAAAACTGTTACGAAGTTTAGTACATTTTTTAAGTGAAAAGACGCAATTCTCACTGGAACTGCTGAAGTATTTGTACTGAAAACAAATTTTGCCACTAACTGAAACAATACTGAAATCTTTTTCTTGGTACGGCTATAATTGTAATCAAGGATTAATGCCATATAGTTTGGAGCAGCTTATATAATCTTAAAATATGAGGATTTGAATAAGTGGATAAAAACGCCTTTATTTATTCTTTTTAAGAGAAGGAAAAAGCATCTGAGTGAGTCACTACTTTTGCCTGGACAACAAGCTGACTACTGAGAGGGTCAGAAAAAGTACTGCAATTTTCGTTATACCAGTGGTGCACCTTTGTCACACAACCCACAAGCCAGCAGAGGAAAAGTCCGTGTGTACGTGAGTGGTATCCTAGTTACGCAAGGAGCTGTGATCAGAATGACACGGTGTGGTTCCCTGAATCTAACAGTTGTCATGTAGATGCACTACTGCACTTTCCTGAAAGGGATAAGGAAGGATGTGAGGAGGCATCCACAGCAACTAAAAAGAACCATCTAAAACAAGTGCACAGCATCATCAACCAGAATTTCATGACAATTCTATGTGCTTTTGTTTTTTGAAAATGATCTTAAGGTCTAAACTATGTAGTCCATACCTATTCA